TAGGTTTATTTCCCTTTTTCTTTTTTAATTGTTTTCGGCAGATTTAAAACTTTCTGGAGAGCCGCTGCATTTTTAAGTAATGCTTTTTCTTTCTTGATTCGCAGGCAGGTCCAGTAATTAAGGTTAAAATCCCAAAGGACAGAGACGGTAGACCCAAGCAGTTCGCGTTTGTGAATTTCAAACATGAAGAATCTGTCCCTTACGGATTGAGCCTGCTTAACGGGATCAAACTGTACGGAAGGCCCATCAAAATTCAGTTCCGATCAGGTACCCGCAAAAAGAAACATTAAATAACCCGGTTACTAGAGAGAAAGCAAAACTGCCGTCAGCTTCCCCCTCCCAAAGCCTGACAGATTTGTATTTAATTGGGTAAATCGCACGTGCTTCTCGCCAAATGGTCACTCACCTAGTAGCCGATGATTTCGCGGAACGATGGTGTCGCACAAAAGCGTGCGCTTTTGTCCCCGTGCTTCAACAGGGGACCTTTCTGTCAGTTATGGCGAGGTATAATCCCGGAGCTGAGTCTTCTGTTTGATTTTTTTTTTTTGATTATTCGTTCTGTACCCTAAATTATCACGCGAGCGGTAAAAGTTGCACCTGCCATCAGTTAAATGAGGCACGAGGGCCAGAACATCGCCGCCCGATCGCATCTTTCCTGGCGGGTATTAAGACAGTTGCAGCGTCTTGTTTCGGAGACCGGATCGCGTGCTTTTGCAGGTCACTGACGAAACTCGAGAGCTAATTAAGCATGTGGAAACTGTTGGTGCCTCGCAAGTTCGCTTCATACCCAAGTTCCTCTAACTCGTGTTTGTCGGTCTCGTGAAAAGTTTGTTTCTCTTCAGGGAGCAGTCACGCATCTCAGGACGGCAATCTGTCTTGTTCCCCGCACGGAGCTGCCAACGCCAGCCCGTCTGGCGCGCCGCATCCCGCATCAAACTGCAGCAGGTACGAGTCTGTCAGCGCGCGCTGTAGGTACACGCGCGTAGTTTAAGGTCGAAAACAGCGTTTGCACGGTTCGCTGCGTCCCTGGCTCTCTTTCCAAGTGCAATTTAGTCTTTCTTCCCTACGGAGTCAGTACTTGCATTCCTAGTGCCCCACGTTCTTGGTATCCGAAATCCTAACGCAGAAGGAATAGCATCGTGTTTTCACACAAGCGCGGAAACGATCCGGCGAGGCGGGGAGAGCGCGGCCAAATGCGCACCGCAAGCGCGTCCGCACCCGTTTCTGCCCACGGCAGCGAGTTCAGGCTGATGCTTGGGCGGCCGTTTTGTTTCTAACGGCAGAAACGCAACTAGGATGCAAGCGCCCCTTGGACTGCAGTAGTCTTGTGTTTAAGGCTAAAATTCCTGATCTGTTTTTTCTGCAGATACGACAGGAGTTCTGACAGCGTGGTGGCAGCGGGATTCTCGTCGGTGCAGAGGTCCCTGCCGCCTGCCGAGAACCTTCAGAGACAAGCGGTGGTACGCTGTTCGCTTCTGCTAATAGCGTCTGGCCCTGCAGTCGCCCAGGGCTGACAGACAACACGGGACAGGGCTGTCTCCCATTTTGAGTATTTGTTTCCTGTAATGCCTGTGAGAGCGTATGCCTGGGAATACGCTTTTGGAGCGTTGAAATGACAATTCCAGAAGGTCTACGGCTCCTGCTACCGAGGTGGTTAGTCAGGGAGGGCTTTGAGCTTTGGGAGTTCAGCTGTAGATGAAGCAATCGGAAATAGCTGCTCTGTAAGTTCGCGCGTAGTCTCGTTTCCAACCCAAAGCCTTCCGCTTCCCCCTGCATTTACAGCACGATTAACGCGCGATTTGGAAGCCAGCCGGCAGTTAGGGTTTCTCTGGCCCCCGTGCCCCAGGAGGGTTCCAGCGCTCTGCCGGGAAGCGAGCGCACCGACCCCACCCACCCTTCTCCTCTTCTCTTCCCAGATGAACAGCGCCTTGCGGCAGCAGCCTCAGTTCGGGGGGAAGTACGAGCAGCCCGGCTTCGCTCCCCCGGGCTACCAGCAGGCTCCTCACGCCTTTCACCC